GGCAAATAAAAACAAATGAATCTAATTGTGTCTTGAATTAATGGCTTCACAAAACAGAAATTTTTTTCAAATGACTTTAAAATATAATTATTTGTACATCCTTAGGAGATATACCCAAAGGACAAAGAAAACTGCAAAGAAATCACAACCTTCTCAGTAATCATGCTGTTAATAACACGGAGATCGTTTTGGTTCAAATACATTACATGTAATATATACATGTGCTTGTACAGACGTCTATGGATATGTGTGTGTAGGGAAAAGGGAGTAAGTAATATGTTACTGTTGTTAGAATCAAGATTTTCAGCATGAGGAAAAGAGATATAAAGTCAAATAAGTTAAATAAAACTCTATAATTTTGGGGCACCTAGCTGGCTCATATGGAAGAGCATGTGACTCTTGATCTCAGGATCTTAAGTTCGAGCCCCACATGAGGTGTAAAGATTATTGAAACTTAAAAAAACTCTGTAATTTAAGTTTGAATGAGATATATCAGTATAAATTCATGATTTTTTAAAAGAGAAAAATACACACATTGGCTAGCTCTGTCCACAGAAAAACTGACCAACCCAGTAGCATTCAGATTGTGGTCAGAATGAGAGTTCCTTGGAGAAATTGCTGATCTCAAGTCTTGGACAGGAAATACACAAAAAGAGTCTGGAACATCTCATCACAAGAAATAAAAGAGATTATCAAAAAGGACTATGGGAGTCATGCCAAAGGACTCAGAGTCAACTTTAGGAAGCTCCCTTTGGTCAAAGATGAAGTTATTTGAATATTAGGAAGAATGATAGTTGTATTTTATTGCAACACATTTAAGTCTGTTAAAAACCCGTAAGTCAGAGGGGAGGCGGGTGGGAGGATGGGTAAGCCTGGTGATGGGTATTAAAGAGGGCACGTTCTGCATGGAGCACTGGGTGTTATGCACAAACTATGAATCATGGAACGCTACATCAAAAACTAATGATGTAGGGGCGCCTGGGTGGCTCAGTCGGTTAAGCGGCTGCCTTCAGCTCAGGTCATGATCCTGGAGTCCCAGGATCGAGTCCCACATCGGGCTCCCTGCTCAGTGGGGAGTCTGCTTCTCCCTCTGACCCTCCCCTCTCTCATGCTCTCTGT